CCTGATAAGACATCATCATCTTCTTATCTTCTTCATCATCATCTAATTTAGTAGAGGTGATAGGGGACAAAGCCAGGTTGGAGCTGTGGAGGGAATATTTGGAAGCTGATGCAACCTTTGCCCTCCAGCCCCCACTTAATCCACCAACCTCTCTCCTCCAAATTCTCCAAACCCATTTTTCACTTGATGGCAGAGCAAGATGCAATAACAGAAGAGAGTGGAAATGACCTTCAACAAAACCCAAAACTCAGCACTGTTCTTTTATTTTGAAGGAGAGGATTTGGGGGTAAAAAGGAAAGTAGACTGCAAGGAAGGAAAAGTAAACCAACATCACAACGTGCTTTGTCAGACACCCTGCTGACTGAAGCGGCGCTGACAAGCCCCGCCACTAATGAGAGTGGCGCTACACCAAAGCTGGCTGTGCCTGTGCTTGTCACCAAGGACACGCTGTGATTTGTGTTCCCATGTGCCTCCTACCTTCTCCCCTTCAACAACTTCCACCTCCATCACTCCACCCCTTCTCCCGTTTCTCCCAGTAACATGCAGCCATATATTTTGTTTTCTTTCTTTTAATGTTGATCATAGATAGAAATTCTGACTCTGAGTCTTGTAGCAAAAATAAAGGGGCTTTTGTTTTTTGGAAGAAATCACAAATATGAATAGAACATTAGATTTGGCAACTGCTAAATGGTACTATATGACATCATGTTAACAACAATAAAACTTGTTAGAAGTGATGCCTGTTGTTTTGTTCAACATAATTTTCATAGTATTCCTGGCAGAGTTTCTTTGCCCTGATTCAAAACTGACACACAGTCACAATGGGTCAGCTGTCATCTCACTGAAACGAGGTTGTATTTAATGATAGTTAACTTTAGGGTATTAGAGAGCTGACAGACACTATTTATCATAACTGATTGTTCCTGCCTTTCGACCAGGCTGAACTGCTGAGCAGATGGGTTCACTTCCTGTAATATCACGGTTCATTATGAGTGTTACTGTATATCAGGGCAGAGAGATAATTGTGACCAAAAATAGCACTGCCTGATATGCACCTGCACTTGATTGTCAGGCACCTGACTCTGACTGGAACTTTGGAAGATACCCGCTTGATGTAATTAACTCAAACTGTTGATTAATTTCAAATACACAAGAGAGTATGTTTTCACACGGAACAAGGACTGGGGATTTGGTCCTGCAGTGTCTTCCACTGGAGCAACCAGCAGCTGATTCAGTGTGCATATGGGCATGCAAGCATTGTTTTTTTAGACACGTTTAAAATAAGCTGTCCTTTAAGTTTTATGTTACTCTATTTCACAGATACATTCTTTTTAAAAACTGGCTTCTCCCTTCACTCAAACTATTTCTCCCAATGAGGAAAGTTTGAAACAACGTAAAACACTGGGAAAGGTTATCAGAATCCACAATGGTGATTGTTCTCATTGTGAGGATTTATGCAGCTTTTATGATATATTGTGAAAAATAATTCCAACATCAGCAATTTAATTGTAACAAAAAAAAGTTTGAAAAGGTGGCTCTTGTGTTTGGGTCCTTATTTTCTCTTCTACTTGCAAATTTAACAAGAAAGAAATGAGAGCATGATGGCACCAGAAACCTTCTCAGTTTGGTCATACTCGTACAAATGCATTTAAGTGTGATTATAGTTTGCCAAAGTAAATATTTATGTAAATGAAATTCCAAATGACTGATTGCAAATCTTTTCAATACCAAACAAGGAGGTTCAGGATATCTGACATTTCCTCCAGTACATGAAAGTATCCTGAGATTTTGTTTAAAATAAGGAAAACTTCCCATATAACACTCAGGCCTCTGTAAATCTTTTCATTTTCCTTTGGGATGATGTGTGTGATGTGTGTTTTGACGTGTGACTCAGTAACTAAGTGTGTGTAAAGAACATATTGTGTCTGTTTTGCCTGGCTTTTATCAGAGGAATGGAGGGTCTCAGGTCTGCACTGAAGGCGACCCTGAGCTGAAGAAATTCCAGGCAGATAAAACTCTCAGGCGGTCGGGAGTACGGGCCTGACGTCTGGCTCGGGAACAATTTCCTGTCAAGTCCTGCTCCACAGGATCAGGAAGGGGTGAAAGGTGATGAACATGGACATTTTTAGGCTCATTATCTTTCCAAAACAGATGCGAGGTGACAACAGCTCTCATATAAGCTATAGAAAACATGAATACACACTGTCACCCGGTCTCATTAGAAAATGCCACCACTTTATGTTGAACTGCAGAAGAATGGAACTAGAGTAGATGTGTTGTGATCATAATTATTCTCACAGAATATTGTTTTCACCAAGGCATTCAATACTTCTCCCTAATGAATTCTGTTGCTTTTTATGAGTGCAGCAAATAATTTTAACACAGTAGAGAGCAGATGCCACCTCTGAGGCTGCATCATTAGTTATTTTAATAACAAAAAACTAACAATTTTAAATCAGCAGCTAAACTCTCATCTCAGTACAGTGCAGCTAAAAGGATTATTGTTTAGTTCATTAACTGGAAACAGGAAATCATCGGCAATGTTTTCAGTCATTCAATCAATTCATTTAAGTGTCAAAATATCAGCCGTTAGGATATGTTGATTTTATTTATCTGTAAAGTGAGGGTGTTTGTGTTTTGAATTGTTTCGCAAATCAAATTCTCAACAAGCAGAAATCACTTCTGACATATTTAAAACCAAACAATAAATTGAGTTGCTGAAAACAATTGTTGGCAGACAAACCAGTAATAAAAATAAATTTTGCTGCAGCCATGAAGTACTCGGTGTGAAGGGCGATTATTGTATGTGCCAAACGTGGAAGTGAAGTGAAGCAGTTCATTATTCCTGAGCCTGGATGCAGATCCACACCCAAAAACCTAGCACTACATTCTACTTCAATTTGTATAATAAATATGTCCTTTAAGTTTTTGAAGTCCTCAAGACTGGTAATTATTCATCAAACAGATAAGGTAATTAAAGTTGCAAGTCGCTGCAAACTATCGTCCAGTGTTGCAGCCAACACGCTTTGGCTTTCACTGCCCTCTTTCGTGCACATTCCTGTCTTACTTGGCACTCACACTAAGGGGTCATGGGAAGGCATGTGGGCTCCTTGGTTAATTTTAGCCCTCATTTCATCAAGGCCATCGAGACAAAGCACAGAGCAACCACCTCAGTTTGCCAGCCAGACCGTGAAGCCAAGTTGCCTCTGATCTGTAAACAGCCTTTACACACTGATCCAGGGTGTCAGTGAACACATGCTCATGCCAGCTATTTCTCTTTGGACAAAGTGACTTCCTAGATGTATAGATGTATATTTATTCTCTGTGTTAATGATTAAAACAACAACAACAGGTCCAGCTCACATTTCCACTGGAATTTCACCAAGGTTGTCTTCCCAGTGACTGCGATGATTCGCTGAGAATCTGGAAATATGCTAAGTTTGGTCATACAGGAGGAGAGTGATCTGTAAATACCACTCAGCAGTAAACGTCACTCACCCTCAGGTGGCCATGAAGCTCTTCTGTGGCAGCTGTTCTCAAATAAACCAACAATGTGCAGTGTGTGTGTCAGGAAGTCGCTTCAGGCTTCAGAAGATTCTCCAGGTGACCTTTAAATAGGTATACAATTGAAACTCTGGCCTGAATGTCTCCTGGTGTCACTGAATACACTGTCAGTGCCAGCTACAGTAAGTGTCTCCTCTTTGGGTGCATTGAGCCCTTTAAGTTGAGACACTGAAGTCCAGGTGAAAACACAAGTCATCAAAGTTTAATGGAAAGTCGTCTTTAATTTAGTCAAGTCAGGTTATTGAGGTTCACTGCAGTTTGCCTGTCCGTGCTACAATAAAACCCACATTGAAAGTTTCCAGTAACACAGACCCGTGCCTGTACCTCATCTCTTCATCAAACTTTACAGCTGTATTTTGTTTTCCTTTTGCATTTTTGACTCCCCTTTTTGTTTTGATAGCTCTGTGGCTGCTTTAGCTGCTCTTATCCAGGCCATCAGTGTAGTGTGATTCATAATGCTGGCTCGCTCTTCGCGCACAGGCCATGTGCTTTGAAACAGAGAAGGAAACTCCTTTTCATACAAAGCAAAGCTGTTAATTTTCTGAAAGATTCAAAGGGGACAGGATACTCCACACAAACAAAAAACTATGGCATTTCAAAGCTTGCCATGGCTATAGATTGGCATAATACTCCAGAAGTGTGATGGCAGCCACAGCGAAAGATGATGATACTATTTTGAGCACAGAGACTTGTAATGTGGAGTGAAGCAGAGACTGATGAGGGCCTGCACAGTGTCAGTGTCATACCACTGTTAAGTGAGCAATAATGCAATAAACATGATTTCAGGACATGGACTTCAAAATAAAATACCATTCTTATTTAAAAATATAGATATTGTTTTTTACTTCTCTATACAGCCCTCAGAGCTTGCTCCTGCAATGTCTCATTTGTCTGCTTGTGATTCTTAAATTTAAACACTGTACATTTACGATAATTGCACTACCCTAAAATGTGCATAGTGGAAAACTGATATTATTTGTCTAATCAGGCACATATAACTATAACCAAAACCCTGGCAGTGTGTCTTTTGTGTGTGTGGGTGTATATATGGTTTAATATATGGATAACTTTTATTATGGGATTTGGGGGCAGCAAAAAATAATAATGTGGGCCCACCTTATCCAAACTGGGGAAGGCTTTGGCTTACCATGGATGCATGGAGAATCACTCATTCATCTTGGAGAGATTTGTTTTTCATGTAGCCTAGCCATTGTTGGCCCTGAGCCCTGACCAAGTAATATTTCTCTAAATTTGCAAATGTAAGTATTAGAAACAAACAACTAGCACATTTCAGGATCAAGAACTTGACGACAGGGTGGAGACCTTTATCTATCAGTCCACTTTGTTGCATGTCGGTGGTGATGGTGGTGGTGGGGTTATTTTGAAAAGAAGTTAAAAACACTTCCGTTTTTGTCTTGGATAACTCAAGCTGACAGTCGGTCTTGTCGAGCCTGAAGAGGAGTGGAGCCAGGGATCCCGGCTACCAGGAGCCTCTCTGCGCAGTCCTTATCGTGCAGTGTCCAAACGCGAGGGAGAAAACAACATGACGACTCTTGAATTCCTCAGCTTATCCTCACAACTTCTCCCAAAACAGGTTCCCTTCACTGAGTAGAAAAATAGTGGGGAAACGGTGTTTGATAACTGTTTGTTTTTCCTTTTAAACGTGAAGTGGTGTTGCATGTGGCTTTTGCGGTATCCTAGTCTACTTTTTTCCCCACATTATCAGCGTGGAACATCCTGCATCTGCTATCGCCCTGGCAACCAATCCTGCTCTCCATCATTCTCCAGGCTTCATCCCTGACCATTACCGGCAGGCTCCGAGAGACAAAACCCCGATTTTTCACGTTTGTCCTCCAAGTGGAAGCAGCTTGTTCATGGACAGTCCTTGAAATCTCTTTTCTGTTTTATTTATTACAAAACAGTGAGGTTCATGTGTCGGAGAGCTCTTTTCTCTCAGCACCAAAATGCCTGTGAGACGCGGTCATGTTGCGCTCCAGAACACCTACCTGGACACTATCATCAGGAAATTCGACGAGCAAAGTAAGTGCACGTGAAATGAGTTAAGTTATGGCCGTGTGGCAAAGTGCGGACACAGTTGGACTCATCATGGTGATTACAAAACACACACACACCAAACACAAAACAGCATTTAAACATCCTACATGACCAGAGTCTTTTTGCTTAAATATGTAACATCCTACATGACCAGAGTCTTTTTGGTTAAATATGTAGGTAACGCTTTATAATAACTACACATTATTCCTCCGTACTTAATTAATGATGAGAAAAGCATTAATTAAGCATGACTCGTACTTAATAACACATTCACTAACGATTTACTCCTGGTGACTAAGGTCATGCATAAGGTCGTTATTCGCTGTTTATTCATACTTAATAAAACATGAATAGATGATTTATTAATACTGCAATGCATGAATATGTCAGGGAGTTGTTAATTGTTAGTTACTGTTTTTTGTGATCCCTTCTAAAGTGAAGACTGTTTATGGTTTATTAAGCATTAATTAATATGTAAGAAAACCCAAACGTGCCTCAAGCTCTTAATTAATTAATATGTAAGAAAACCCAAACGTGCCTCAAGCTCTTAATTTAATGCTTAATAAACCATAAACAGTCTTCACTTTAGAAGGGATCACAAAAAACAGTAAATAACAATTAACAACTCCCTGACATATTCATGCATTGCAGTATTAATAAATATCTATTCATGTTTTATTAAGTATGAATAAACAGCGAATAACGACCTTATGCATGACCTTAGTCACCAGGAGTAAATCGTTAGTGAATGTGTTATTAAGTACGAGTCATGCTTAATGCTTCTCATCATTAAGTACTTATTCATGGTTAACTAAGGATGAATAAGGTGTAGTTATTACAAAGTGTTACCCATACTTTTATTGTGATGGTAGAAACATGATTCTTTTATTGAAATATGAAAATTTCACTTGCTGTGATTGCAAAACAAGTGCATTTGTTTTTGCTTTAACTGTGCACATGTAACTAATCTGTATAGATAATGCATTTTCTACGTGCT